GGGCGTTCGGGACGCTCAGTAGGGCATTGTGTGTAGTGTAAACTGCTTGCATTCGAAAAGGAGGATCCTCTTGGGAGAGGTGCGGCGTGTTGGTGGCTGGAGAAGTGTGCGTAGTTGATGTTGTTGTTGCTGTAATTGTTGTAAACAGACTCGCAGCAACCACACCTCCTGTGACCACACCCGTAGATGGGGCATGATGGCATCAGAGAAGTGTTTGCACCGTCACCACACTGACAGCAATACCAGGAAGACATGATTGTCGGTTGGTAGTTGGGTAGAGTGTGGAGAAGAGATAGAGTGTCTGAGTAAAGATGATGGTGAAGAGGAAGAGGTGTGCAACTGTTGCGATGTAAAGTTGAGAGAGTATGGTAATACCTTTAAAGAAGGAGCAGGAGTTGAATATCTATATCTTGCTTCAGTGATTAGGGTTATTGCAACAAAAGCAGGAAGACGGTGTCATACCCTCAACCCGGCGTCCTCCCGGTGTCCTCTATCATGGCTGAGCCATCGTCACCGCCCTCTCTGTGCCCTCTCGCCTCACAAACAGGGCACGAACAGTGGCCTCCTCATGACCGTAAAGCTCCGTTTTGCCGCCTAGCACATTCAGTCCTGGCGGGCACTCGTCCCTCGGCGGCGGACCTACTGTACCAATGACGCAACGGAGGACAGTGGCGGAGCCAGCAAAAAGCACGGCTCATCGTGTAAAAAAGAGCAGAAGGGTGGGAAAAAAGGAGAAAAAAGGGCCAGGGTTGCGTCAGGCTTAATCGGATGAGATGATGCGTTCCTAAGGTTGTCAGTGTGGGCCACGATAGGAGGCGACGACAGTGATTATGGGTCAAGAACTGCATGTGAGACTTGTAGACTAGGCTTTTTTTTTGGAGAGAAGGCATCAGGCAAATGGGCGGCCTCAGGATGGCCGTCGTTGGGGGGATTAGTGTAGGCAAAATACTTGGCATACTGGTCCTCCATAGGCGGACTCAACAAATTTGGCCACAGCAGCAGGCCCGTCTCAACTTGCGGTGTGAATCGTCCAAGTTGATTGGCGTCGTGTTTCAGGTGAATTTCTCCAATAACGATCCGTCGTCAGGACAACAAGCATTTCCCCCTTTCGCCACTGCAGAGAGAGCCGTTGAGGCGGCGTGTGTCGCCCTCGCTGTGGGTGTGCACTTGTTTCGTGTACCTGTGTACCTGCGTGTTCATGCCTTGGATGATGCTTGCATCGATCTTCATCCTGGGTTGCAATTTCCCGCGACGCCCACCATGGTGGTTCTCGTTGTGAGTAGTGAGGTTGTGAGCAGTGAATTTCTCATATTATCAGTGGAGAGTGAGTGAGCAGCGTATACAACGATTTTGAGAGTCAAGCAAATATGAGGTGGAAAACAAGTATATTGAAGCGACAGATATATTGCATGACGAAATCTAAATCCAAGCCTTGTCCTAAATGCCCCAAACCAACCATACTCCTCCATGTAACCGCTGCAAAAAGCAAGCCAAAAACACGCTCGGGCCCGAACATGGCGCTCAAAGACTCCTGCTTCGCCGATGATGTAAGAAAATGCTGGCTTAAACCTCCGAGGTCCGTTTATTGAGTCTTTTCCATCGTGCAAGCAGTGCACCTTTGGTGATTACATGTTGTGCACACGTTTTGCCAGTCGCCTTTGGGACCATCCTTACACGCCGAGCAAAACCAGACTACTGGAGCGCCGTAGATGGGTGCAGATGTGTAATCGGGTAGGCTGCAAGATAAGACCGGTGAAGAGGGCGCGGATGTGTTGTGGCTCGAAAGGTGATGATCGACAAGATAGTTCGTGTGAAGCGTGAATTTTCTCTCATCTGAAATGGAAGAAACCGTTGCACGCTCGAGAAATGCCGTGTTGTTGGGCTGCAAAGACACTGAATGACGTTGAGGACTCAGAGTTGTGTCGGAGTCCTTGCTGAGATAGCGAAGATTAGAGTTGACGGCCATGATGTGCGATACTGAAACAGTGGAGTATTGATGAAGAATTTGGAGCGCTTTAGCCAGCAATGTATTCCGAGTGAGTGATGTGTATCTGGATAGCGATATGCGACTTTATTCTAAGAACGGGGAGAACTTAAATGTACCTCGTTCGCCCAGACAAGTTCCACTCGAGTGAATGCCTCGTGTCCATCGTGTCGTCCTGCTGCGCCTTCCGCTATGAAGCTCCAAGAAGGCATCTGGTGCCAAAGGCATACAAGTTGGTGCCCTACACGGATAGCCAGCCAGTGGTAAGGCAGTGAATGGTGGAGGACGATGAGAGTCCCACAAGGAACTAGCCAGAATCTTGACTATGAGATGCATCGCCACAATACTGCAAAGTCGGTGTGTGGCTGACAGAGTCTTGGGGCCAAGGGCAAATGCCTGATGTTCTGTGTTTGCCTTGATCAAAACCCCATGATAACCTTTACATCAGGCCATACCAAGCTTCTTCCCCACATGTAGATCGGGAGGTGCGACGACATGTTGTAGCAACATGGGATGTTGCATGCAATAACGCCGTATAGTTGGGTATGGCTAATTGCTGAGACAAACCGAGCAAATCAGGCGATCGTTCTGTTTGCCTGTTTGCCTGATGGAGTGACTAACTGGGATAAGGAGTCCCGGAGCTTGACAAATATACTAGCTCCCGAATAAGTAATCGCTCAATATGAAACTAGACTAAAGATCTTGCCTACTTACCGTAGCGCAGTGGATTTAATTATTCGCCTGGTTTGGTGAATAAACATTGGCGATTTGTAGACTTGAGTCCGATGTAGGCACTTAACCCCTGCACTCTTTGACGCCCAACAGAGCATGGACGGCGCCCAGAGCCTTCACAGCCACTGTCGGGTGAAAAGGATTGAATACCGGCTTTGTGTTACTGGAAAATAAAAACCTCAGGTTGCTAATCGACTTCAACCACTACCGGCACGATTGTTCGGTTAGGCTGTGCATGTCGCTTTACTTCTGCATCAGTTGTTGTTTCTGTCATCAATCGTCAATAGATTCACTGGTATAGTATGATGATGCGTTCATAGTGCTGTAGCCTGGCAATCTACGCCTGGATATCTGCTCCTGAGTATGACGCCGGAAATGCAGTGGTGGGCCGGCGACGATCATCGGTACGGCCAGCTCGTGGCAGTGCGAGCCCCGATGCCTTCTGAGACGATTAACGATTACCCATACGAGTAAATCTTGGCTGTGTAGCTTTGGGAGCTCGGTGTGTAGACGTTGAAGCTCGGATGCCATGCTGCGCGTAGTCAGTCACCTGGACGTGAATGGCCAGTGGACGGCGAGTTTACAGACTGCGTTTAACCATTTACTATAACAAGAAGCACTAGGCAGACTCACTGTATGCTGGGAAGGAATGAAGCTTGCGTTGGTCTGGCCGTGGGTCAGTTGGTGCTAAATCTCTTTGAGTACCAAAAGAGTATATGCTTCGCTTCTACACCAGGTGCAGGACGTAGCGTATATACTGCGAGCAAGAGGATCAGCCTGACCATCTTCAACACTATCTAGATGCAACCTTTTGGACCCCGCTATCTACGCATGATTGATATCGGCTTTCCAGAAACGGCAAAAAGGTTTGGTGAAGGGGGCCGGAATGGCGGCAATACAACCACAGAAAATCACGGAACAAAGAAAAGAACGAGGCGATCCAGCCTCGGTCTCAGCCTTGGGGGATCCGGTCAGTGCAACAGGCTTAGCTTCAATGCATTCATGTACGTGTAGTCCTTCGAGGCAGGTTTTGGGTCAGTCATCAGTCGTATCAGAGGCGCCGAAGGTTGTGTGTGCTCTCCCATGATATGAAATAGATACAGGCCGAGAACAAAGAATGATGTGACTGCCAGACTGGGCTGCAGACTACTTCTTGGGGCTATATGCATGGTTATGTAAGGCGTTGATTGGCGAGGAATCTGATCCTCTTTGCTTCTGATCCAGAAGCCAAAGCGAGTGATTTTCTCTAATCCACGCGAGAGAACGCCAGAAAGCATACTGATATTTTGCGCAGAAGCACAGCAAGAAAAAAAGCAAACGAGGTTGAGAATTGTTGGCCGGGCCTTGAGCAGTCGAGGATCATGACGTCGGCAGCGGCCAGGCTCGGCCGATTGGTCGGACGGCGCGTCGCACACGCGTGTACCTATTGCTCGCGGTGTAATTGAAGGCTTCTCTGAGTTGGCGATACAACACATAACAGGATGTTTGAAAGACTACAAATTTAATGGGCCAGCGATTATTGCAAATCTCAATGACGTGGTTTGAGGTGATGTTGCCAAGCCCGCCATAGGGAGCCGACTAATGGTGCATTGTTCGCGACCTTGGCCCAGCGGGCTGTGTTGTGCAACACCAGGATTCCTCCTCGTCAGCCTTCTCCCGAGGGCTCCTGGAGTGAGCGCAGCTATTCCTCCTGTTCCACACTCTGTCGCGATGGCACCACCACCTCCTCCGCCAGCAGTCTCCGATCCGCCAAAGCCCGGCGCCATCACCAACCCCGCCGTGGAACAGAAGATTGGCCAGGCGACCTCCGTCATCATTCCTCTCCTCGAGTTCGGCGCGGTGGGCTACGAAACCTGGGTCTTTGTGTACCTGATCTGTATAAAATACCTTATCAACCCATCGGACCAAATACAGCGCGACTTCGATATCCAACCTCGGCGGTCCACCGGCATCGCGCTCATCGTCGTATACGCCCTTCTCCTGCTCTTCCTCACCATAACATGGCTGCGCCTCCTACAAATGATATGGTCCAGGCCTGATATTGTCCCGTTCGGAAACACCGCGCAAGAGAAGGAACATGCTAGCACTAGGGACTTTGCATTCGACCAGTATGACGCATTCATCTGCGACTACCAAGGGCTACCGCTCTGGTGCGACAAGTGCCACAACTGGAAACCGGACAGAACACATCACTGCAAGGAGTTGGGCCGATGTGTGAGGAAGATGGACCATTACTGCCCTTGGGCGGGCGGAATCATAGGAGAGTCAACTCATAAATTTTTCATGCAATTTGTAGCGTACGGGGCGTTGTACACAACGTTTACTTGGATTGTGGTGGCTATTTTCCTGGCGGAGCGCAATTCAAAGGTATGTTCCTACGGACATTGTTGGCGCATTTCTACCGTTTATTGGGTCGTTTGAACAGCGTATTAACATGTTCCAGATGGGCTCACGGCCCGGTACTTGGATTGGCGCTCTCGCAGTAGGGATACTGTTCAGCGTCTTCAGCTTTACCATGTCTTGTATGACAGGCTGGAATCTCATGATCAACTACACCTCAGTCGAAGGCATCCAGCGCGGGGGTATCCATAACATCGCCTTTCTCATTTCCCAGCCATCTCGCCGTTCGAGTACCACCCTTCCACCAGGAACGCCACCGTCGCCGTCTGGAAATGCTTATAAGAAGAGGTCTGACAGGACTACGGAAGGAGAAAGGGTCGAAGAGGACTGGCCTGTTCTGACTACTGTAACCCGTGCTTCCAAGCGCTCCTATGTGGTGATGCAGACAAAGCCATTCGAACACCCTTGGTACACGACCCTCATGCAGGGTTGGAAAGACACCATGGGCGACGGCATACTCGACTGGTTACTTCCGTTCAAGCAGAGTCCGTGCAAAAACCGGAGTCACAGAGGCGAGTTCGCGTGGGGAGAAGTGGTATACGACATGGCGCGGGCGTACGAAGAAAAGCATCCCGAAGCGCGACTCGCGCTGCTTCACGGGTCAAGCAGGCGATGACATTGCTACTTCACTTAATGATTTTCTTGCATATACTCGGGCGAGCGGGGTATGCGGAGTTTGTTGTTTTTATCTTCTTTTCTTTTTTTGAAGTACATGATACCCACGTACGGACGTTTGTATATAACCGCCCACCCCAGCAATAACGGGTAAAAACAAAGTAAAAAGCGAACGAAACAAAAAGTAAGCAAAGAATGAAACCTCTTAATCGGAACTCCGGCATACTTTATCTCAACGTCACACGGCTCGCCATCACCTCCGATATACTTTGTCCAGCCTTGTAACCAGAACATCAACGCTGGCAGGCTAACACACTTATCGTTTTACGCGTCTAGATAGATCTTTTCAATGCACACATAGTTACCATGACGTTCAATTACCGTCGCACAACCAGATAATCGTCGCACAAAGAAACCACACATCTCCCACGTGGCTCCCGCACCTGGGCATCTGGACCCTTCTCTCTTCATCGCATCCAACTGACTACTTTTTTTTTGAAACCGCCGCTCATGATAGGTGACTTCCCAACTCTGGTACACCCAAGGTCCCGCTCAACCCTCCCCCCCAAAAAAAAGAGCGGGTAATCGTATATCGCGGCCCAAACTTCCTTGGACGAAGTCCAGATGCTGCTAGCACCGATGATGTATTGCATGCTATGATGAACCTTCTGGCGCGAAACGTGAATGAAATTGACATGTGTAATCAACAAAGAGAGCGACAGCCCCCCATACAGGAGAGACAGCATCGTCGCATTCTCGTCATGCTACAGCAGTATCAAGATCCTACTCGACTCAAACCGCACCTTAATAGCCATTGGTGCTTCGCAAGGCATCCCCCCCCTTCCTGCCATGCTTCCCAGCACAAAAAGGTGCAAAACCTGGATAAAATCCCCCCCCAACCCACGTGGGTTATGCAGAAACCTAACTTTTTACCCACGTTTCCCACGGAACGCCCCCATTCCATCCACACACACACCCTCCAATCAAAGGACCGGCAAAGGCACGAAAATAACCCTTTTTTCTCGTTTTCGCATTGCCTTCCTACAAAAGCAGAGGGATCGGCATAGGTGTAAGTCCCGACCCCACGGGTTTAACTACGTGACGGAACTTGCCATTTGCTATCGTCAAAGTCACACTTGACTTGTGCGTATCCAGTATATCGGGTTATGGTGTGTGTGTGTGTGTATTGGGACTTGGCGGGGTGGGAAATCAGCGAACTCCGACCGTCATATCGACGGATTAGATGGATGGATGATGGAATAGGAAGATAGGAAGCGAATACGGGGGGCCCCGGACATTGCCCGTTCAAAAGTAAGCAAGCGACGAGCATCGCGTGTGCGACGGGTGATGGGCAACGGGAAGAGGGGGCGGGAAGGGGGGGAAATGCGCGAAATGTGTGGTGGTTTAAACCATTTGGGGGCAAAGATGTGCAATGAACATGTGCAATTTTGGTGGTTGGGGGGCGATCGTCATCTAAAATGGGTTTTTTCTTAACGCCGTATATGTTGTATGGTTCCATAACCGACATTTTTCTTTCTTTCTTTGCAATCTCCGATTATGCCCGCGTGGGGATTATCTTTTTTGTTGTCGAGTCAGTGTTTGGAAAAGAGAAAAATCCGGGGCGCGGAAGCGATGAGGGAATACGGAAGGTGACATTTGGACGTGTGGTTTGTGCGGACGACGGTTGAAACTTGGGTTGTGTCGTAGAGAATGGAAGGCGGGGCCGGGGAGCAAAGAGATAGGGAATGAGGTGAGGATTTGCATGGACTAGGACTTGATTAGGATTATTTCGCGGGCAAAGACCGGGGACAAGGGCTTCTTTGCTATGCTTTGTAGATTATATGCATGTAATGTTAGCGTTTGCTACAAAAGGTTAGCAATTTCTTTCTATTCTGCTGTATAGGTGTAAATGTGATGGGATTTTTCGTATTTCCCTTCGCCTCGCCTTGCCTTGCCTCCACAGAATAACCGTTTCATATGAACCATGGGTTCTCTACATGGTAGAGTCCCACTGTTCACCTAGCAACGCTGTCGCGAAAGGCGAGGAGATTGAAGAGGCAAAAAGGTCTGGGGCCGAGCCGGGGTTCGGGGGGTTGGCGGGCTTTCGTTTGGGGCACGAGATGTGATAAGGGGATGCAAGTATCAGGCGATTCTGCGTTAATATTCCGATCAACACAACTTCGTTTTGATTGTCAGATTTAAGCAGGTTGACGGCCAAAACAAGGTGGGTTTAAAAAAGGTTGGAGTTGCAAGTTTGCAATGAAGGTGACATGCGCTAGAAACTGGCCTGAAACATCAGGACGCTTTTTTTAAGCAACATCCTTTGCGCCTCTCTTCCCCGGCCGTTGTCAAAATTGTCAGGCATGTCAGGTGATTTGTAAAAGAAAATGGCGCGAGCGAGCAGATGTTTCCGGCGTCGCATCATGCTTCCCGTATGTGACTGGTTTCAAGGTGCGGCGGGGCGCGTGAGTGCATCCGACGGGCTCCCTGGTAAGAAGTGGGATCCCTGCAAGGTCATGATGGCCATGATCAGTTATTTGTTTCTAGGAATGACAGGTTGGACGAGAGGCGAATGAGCGCCAACCTGGTCATATCAAGGTTATTAGAATAAGAGGGTGCAGGGATGGCTTACTAGCCGAAAGGGAAAATCATCTTAGCATCGGGCCAGACCAGCACGTCCTGGCTCCGATCCCCCAGGGTTGACGCAGGCATCGTGCACGCCAGTCCCCAAGTGGTGGCATCCTTGCTGACGATCCCCGGCAAGGGTTCTAATGCAAACCTCGCCCTTCGCTTCACCGGATGTGATTGATTTGTGAAATTTAAACTCTAGCTGTGGGGCACATTGCGAGTTTGGCTGGCTGGGCTGAGCTGCCTCGTTTGCTTCGGTTCAAGGAGCCGAGAGAAAGAGAAGAAAGACAGGGAACGCGAGCAACGCATGTTCCGTGCTCTCCTGTGGGATTTCAATAATTCCAAACGTGTCATGGCTCAACTTGTTCCGACACTTTCCCGGAGTGGTTCCATGCCGCGCTCCCGGTAACCTCCAAAAATACCAACGGCTTCTGTGCTGCGCTCAAAGGTTGACCGTTGTGCGTCTATGTTTTGAGTTTAGCTGGTGAAACACCGGAACTTCTCATCGCGTTTCGAGCATAGCGTCAACAGTGTGATGGCTATCACTAAGTCTGCAAAGATCTGGCGATGGAAATTTCCTCATCAGGCCAGTCTGGGGCCATATACAACCAAATCTGGCCATTTGGTTGGGGTCTTTTTTTCTTGTAGGCGCTAGATAATCAATAGTCTAACGCCTGGGGTCCATCGCCATGCATCGCAATAGTTGCCAGTTTGGTTGTTTCATGTTGCCGGTGCCTGGGGAAGGGTATTTGTCAATCAGTGTGAACCTCACACCTCACGAAAGCATGGTCAAAAGTCATTGTCGAGTATGGAAAATTCTTGTGTATGATATTAGGATATGTGGGAAGCATGATTTTGGAGCTATGGCAAAATCAAACAAATCCATTGATACCTCCAGTGTACGACTGCAGCGCAGCAGTCCCCGATACTCCCTTTCCCAACATGCAAATGTATCCTCCTATTTGGGTCCCAGGGTATTCAACGTTAGAAAAAATCCCGGGCGTCTCTTGCACCCAGTAAACGCTTGTAAAACCTTTAGTGCCTATGCTGAGCCTGAATAATATGAAAAGAAATCGCCTAGAGATAGATGGAAAGAAAGAAAAATACATGGATAAGAAATAACGTCCAGGAAATTTTGGTTCAACCAGATCGCCAATGACGCAAAGAAGTGAAAATAGTGTGGTGGGATCGTACCCGTGACTGAATCTAAGTAAAGGGCTAGTAATGGACGACGTATGGCAAGAATAAGGCGCCACTTCCGAGCGACTTGCGGGCCGAGCGAGTCTATGCATCAGGTCCGTTGGCTTCGCGTTCGCGCTGCTCCTTTTGTGGGGCCCGACGGCGAGCGTTGATGAACCAGTTGGATACCTAAATCTTGTCAGTCACTTGTCCGGTAGCACGTAGCAAGATTGTAAAAGGTCCCACAAGACAGATCTGAGGTCATTCAACGGCCCGAAAGCACGCTGCTGTCTAAATCAGACGACACTGAAAGACAGAAATGGCACATGTAGTAAAAGTGTCACAGTTGACACTTTGGCTGGAGGATGGTGACTTACCTGATTGAGACTCAAACCAGTACGGTTGCAAAGCTCCATTTTCTGGTCTTCTGTTGGGTAGGGCGACTGACGGTTCGCCGCAAACCAGTCCTTGAGTAGGTTGGTAGCCTCCTTGGGTAGGTTTCCTCTTCGCTTTCTGTTGAATGCACTGTGGTCAAGACCGACATTGTGCTGGAAGCGAATGTCGCCGCCATAGGGTGCATCGTAACCAGAGTAGGAAGCTCGAGGGTAGTAGGAATCCTGGGACCGTTCGTAGCCGCTGTAGGCGGCTGCCTGGTGGTCGTGATAGTAGCTCTGTTGAACCATGGGTGGTTGATAAGGGTTCTGAGCGATTGGCTGGTGGATTGCTGGCTGCGCAAAAGGCATCTGGCCTTGAGGAACGGGCGAAGACTGGTGGCGGACATGGGGGTTCATTGGGGGCGCTTGCTGGTGAGGTGGCGGGTAGGAAGGAGTTGCACGGTGAGAATAGGCTGATGGTACAGGCTGTACGGAGTGCTGGTGGGAGACGTGGGGTGAGTAGCCGGAAAGGGCAGGGTCGATGGCGCTGCTCATGCGGCGAGGCTCAGCAAAAGACGGTTCGATGCTACCGCGAGCGTAGATGTCACCAAGCGTGTCGACACGCCTACGTTTGCTGTCGGCCCACGCTACCTCGTCAAAATGGGGCTGCGCATGAGGAGAGCTGTCGGCCGATCCATGTCGACGTTGGGGTGTCCTTGGTGGTGTGGTGGTTCGGGTAGTGTGAAGAAACTGTACAAGTCAGCAGTGCCCAGATGTGTTCGGATGCGAAAGCTGGGTTTACCTCTGAAAAAGAAGGGAGCTTGCCGGGGAAGCTTTGTTCTCCAGGCTGAATTGGTGGAGAGCTGCGCATGTGATGGTTCTGGGTTTCTGTCAGATTACTGCTTGTGTGTGAAGTTGGCTGCTGTGTTTGGTAGGTGCGCGCATCAGGGTCGGTGTCATTGTCGTTGTGGGAATGGATTTTCTCCGAGGAGTGCGAGGTGATGACTGAGTAGAGATTGGACTGTCTCTTTGGTGGGGGTGGTGGAGTGTGTCGCTGATGAGGATGAGGATGATGATGATATTGTTGGGGAAAGAAAAGAGAGCGACTCAGGACCTTGTCCTGAGCATGCTCGTGGTGGTGGTCCATGACTTGATCCCAGCTAGCAAGCGGAGGGGGGCAACAGCCGTGGGATTTGTCTTGGTGGGCGTGTGCTTGTGCTTGTGCTTGTGCAGTGGCGCGGAAGGAGCCGGGCAGTGGGGGTGATGGGGGCTTGAGGGCAGGCTCGAGGAAAGGGGGAGGAGACAAAGGTGTAGGGGAAGCCATCGAGGCAGTAGAAGAGGAAGCAGCCAAAGTGGCAGAAGAAGAATCGTGACTTACCGCAGCAACCATGTTTGCCAGCGGACTCTCTGCAGAATGTGACGAGTTCATCTTGCGCGAGTGCAGTGGTTCACAGTGGCGGTGCGGAATATCTTGGAGGGTAAGATATTCCATAGGGGCAAGTGTGGGATGGTTAAATACTCTGGAGAAGCAAATGCAGGCGTTAGCAACGGAGAGCAGTGCATGTCAATGTGTCGATGGTGAGTGGACGGGGCCATTTGCTCATCCATAGTTGGTGACAGCTTGGTACCAGGACCAACTGGCACCGTTGACTGGCACCGTTGAATGCCATCAGACACGAGCGGGGTGGCAGGCAGAGAGCAGAAGGGAAGGGCGACTTACCCAGGTATCTAGGTGGTGATGTAACGGGTAACTGGATGAGGCAACGTAGGGGGGGCAGTACCGGGCGGGCGAACCAGGGAATGTAGATGGCAGATATATGCGGGGCGGGCAGCGGGCTCGGGGGCTATTATGGTACAGAGGGCGTGAATGGGGGTTGGTGAAGAATGTACAAAGGCAGAGCCACAGCGGGGATGGGAGCGGAAAGGGAGCCGGCGCAAGCACACAGCGAATGGTAGGGGACAAGGACGGGATGCTGGGGTGGTGATGACGGGTGGGCGGGTGTTTAAGAAGAAGTCGGATTGGCAAAGGAGGCGTTTATGGCCAAGCAGGACTGCAACGGGCCGTGGATTTTACCATGCACTCTGATCGTGCAGCACGAGCAAAATGAGCCAGGGGGGCCAGCGTGTGACGGCCAATGAGCAGGGAGGCAGCGCGGCTAGCAAGACGTGTGTAGACTTGACAGGTGAGGGTAAGGTTTGGTCTATATTCTCCGAGCGTGCACATTGCAGGCTCTGGCCGGATAGAGGCCGAGGGTAGGGTTAGGTAGGAAACAAGAGACCCTCCGCCTACGCCGCAGATTCGAGGCACGAGCCAGCGCGCTGAAGCTGCGCCGTCTGCTGCAAGCGCCATTGAGCGTCGCCCGGTGTCTCCACACCTCTCGAATCGTCGCAGATCTGGCTGCTTCTGACTCGCCGCAGAAACGGACCAGGGTGTCGTCTGCCTCTGGCCCTTTGCGTCCTCCAACTCGGCATGCCCATACACTCGACGCCGCAGCCATCCCACAACGTTCCATGACGGCGAGAAAAAAAGCGGGCTACGGCCAAGCAAATACCCTCTGCTCCACGCGCGCCTCGCCCTCGCTGGTACAGGGCCCCCTTCTAGGTGCGCCTTCTGTCTCTCTTTCTCTCTCATTCTTCATCCCTTGACCATTGTCAGGCCATGTCCGCTCATTGCATAGAGTTTGTGCCTGTGTATCGACCTTGGACCCTGGGCCAACATGACAACGACAGAAAAAAACAAAAAAACAAAATAGTAACCAGCACCAACGCCAACAACACAGACTACGATGTGGACTAGGAGCGG